TATTTCGGGTCAGTAAGTGGTTCAAGGAGTAGACCGGCTCCTCTGAATCAGATTTTAAAAAAAAAAAACAATATCGATACAGGATGATACACCCTACCGACGTATCACATATTTTGAACCTTGATAGCCATTGCTTGTCTTTTGATGAATTCTCCTGCAGTGCATAAATAGTAGGAATGCAAAAATTGAACCACTATTTGAAATTAAATTTACAAAAAGAGTTTGTGTATGTATCTTTTTGGGCACTTGTCTCATTGTAAGTAAGACTCAGATCGTTTGATTGTCAACTATTAAGTATATGGTTGGTATCGATGTTACAAATACAGCACCATTTTTTACATGTGTGGGCTGGAAGTACCATTTTATGAGAAAACAGCATTTTTTTTTTGGGAAACGTTACTATCAAGTACGACATTTCTTGGAAGAAAAACAATACTTTTTGTTTGGTACTAATGCTCTATATTTGTTTTTAGCACTATACCCATCATAGGAAGTCAATGTCACTCAGCAATGAGCTCCAATCTGAGAAAATATCAAATTTGACATCGCTCCAAATCATGTCTTTCCGATTTTCAAGGCATAGCTTAAAACACCATTTTTTTGTGAAAAAACAGTTCCAACCAAATTGATATTTCCTAGAGCACAATTTTTTCTGATACACAAATGTATCATCGTTTTCTGGAGCAACGGCATCGATGCCAAACAGACGCTAATTCAAAGTGTACTTGACGTACATAAATTTGGTAAAAAAAAAAATCAGGTGATTCGACTAAGACAATAAGCACAGGTAATGAGGCAATCTAACATTAATCAACACCAAGTTCCAAAGTACCCCACGAGAACTGACAAGATCCAAACCAAGGACAAAACAAGTAATAATAACTAACCACGAGAAACGAAAATAGAAGATTCATTACAGTAATGCATGAATCCTGCAACCACAATCAAAGATGACATACCCCCCAAATCAGAAGTTCCATTAGAACTGCCACCATGAGAAATTAAAACACAATAGACTCATTACATTATATGCATGCATGAATTAATTAAATCCTAGCACCTAAAGATCACCCTGTCCCTGTGCTCCACCACAAATCCCAAAAGAAAATTCATTAAAACCAACCACAATAAGCAATGATCAATACAGAAGATCAATCCATTGCAGCAGATAGAACCCGTTAGAAATCACAACTGATCAGAAAGGCGACCAGAAACCTTCAAGCAACTTGTTTCCAACTTGTGAAGAAACAGACGCATGCCAGTTACCCTCTTGGATCTCCTCCCTGATAAGGCTTGTGGAAGCCAGATTTCCGCTGGAACCAATTGCATCACCAACTGGGCCCGACGACTCGATACCTGCAACCTCCATAGCCAATTCAGCCAACCCCAGAGAATTAAGTTCAGGCTTCTCAAGAACCCTAGCAGCCAGTGGACCAAGTTCGACCCCATCTCGGCATTCGAACCCACGAAAGAGATTCTAGGGTTGTTGAGGAGTTGCTTGAGATATTGCGGCACAGAGTTGAAACATTTGAGCTCCACTATGATGCACCGAAACCCTACGCAGAGAGCCACCAAGACAGCCTTGTTCGGCTCTCCACGAGTAGAGTTGGGGTTCTTCTTCCACACTGCATGAAAAACCATGACCATGTTATCCTTGTAGCCCACGATCTGGAGACGAGACTTGATCTTTCGTCCCGTACGATTGTGAAGTCAAGATGAAGTATCCTCGCCATGAAATCTGCCATCGTAGAAGGAGAAGGAAAAATTGATTTGATCCCTGCAAAGAACCCTAATTCATGCAACGTTTGTGCACTAGCCTGACTCCACTGACTCCAAGAAACTAACTATATGTATATATAATGTATCTTGTCTTCTTCTATATAAAGAAAGAGAGCCAGAGATTCTCATCTGTTACTTTTCGTTTCTTAATCTCTCTCTCTTTCGCTTGCACGAATCCCATTGAACAAAGTGCGGTTACAGAGATAAACAACCGTTATTTCCATTACTCTCTCTCTCTCTAAATCTAAACCGTTACACACTTTCACAGCACCTAACAAAGCCATCACCACGTTCATCTGATCCTAGTTAGTATTTGTTGAGATTTAATTTGATCAAGAGATTAAGGCCCAGTTTGGTTCGCGGGAATAGGGTCTAAAATTGGATTTTCTTTTTTTTTGAGAATGCATCTTAATTTCCATTTTTATTCCTGTTTGAACCAAACAGACTATAGGAATAGATCATTTTGATTCCAATTCTAACTATGGATCAAACGGGCCCTAAATTTTATGAATTATATTGATTGATTATAGAGCTTAGTTTTTATATCTTTGGTTTTATCAAATTGATTTTCTAAAACTTTTGGTTTTTCCACCAATTTTTTTTTCTCTTGAAACTCTACGTCCCATGTGTTGAAAAATTACAGTCCTCTCTTGAATATTATTAATAGGAGCTTGCTTACACCCCTTAATAAAGTATCAATGGACCGGATATTGGTCCACCCTGACCCTGTCCAATATGAGTCCATTTTAGATGGACCTGGTCCAATCCAATAAGATGAATACTTTGAATCACCGTGGATTGGTCTAAATCTGTTCAAATTGGTTTTATGGTCAATTGACACCCACTCTTATAATCTGTCATTGGACTGGATAATTCAATCGACCTAATCCAATATAAATACATCACGGTGGATCATGTCCAATCCGATACAATAAAATACTTAAGCCTGGATTGGTCTAATTCACCTATGCGACGGGTGATATTGCGGATGAAATAAAACGGTTTTCATATTGTACGATATCAGAAAAAATGAAAAAAAAAGGGATCCAATGAAATCAACAACCATTTTTTTTATTAGGGCACTCCAGGGATTTGGATTAGTAGGGAAGAGCATATAGCAATATTAGGGGTGCAACTGGATGGGCTTGGTTGGGTTTTGTCAAAATTTGAATGGTCCTAACCCAGCCCAAAACCCGAACCCAAAGCAATGTAAAATATTAAAATATTAATTCAAGCCAATCCAAGTTAGACCCTTAATAGCCATACAGGTAAGGCCCTCTTAAGCTTGATAAATGGATTCATGCTTATGGCAGCACTTAATTGGAAAGGTGTGTCTCGCTGGCCTGTTGGTGTAGTTGTTGTATGATATGGTTTCATTGTTTTTTTTTTTGGGAGATTAATCCTCATTTGATTTTATTGTATGGTTTTTATTTTGTTCTTGGTATTTAACTATATGCACCACACTAATAACCCCTCTCTAAATCAGTGGTTGCAGGAATCAAATTCACGTTTATATTAGAACAAACCAACTAATGTACCAACTGAGTTTCCCCTCAATTTATGTATAACCATGGTTCAAAGTATCAATACACTCGATATAATTTATATTAATTTATATCAGGCCTTTTCATATCAGAGTTTTATGCGACCCTTAACATCACATATTTGAGTTTTAAAAACTTGAAATTTTATAAATCTTGCATTAGGCATATATTTATGCGTTTAGGTGGAGTGAAAACCTTGTTTAAACTTGTTAATCTTTATATTCCGATACTTTTAAAGCTTGTCTGTAATAAACTAATAAAACAGTATTATCAGTCACATCCAGTGCAAATAATTATATTTTTTTAGGTAAACTAATGTTGCATTATTATTCAATCCACAAAGCCACGAGGGCTTTCTGTTTTTCCCCTGAAAATTTGGTTTCATTAAAAAAAAGAAAAGAAAAAAACAAATGGAAATATCTTTAACGGTCTGTGAACGGGCCACCTTAACAGGTAAGTATGTGTCAAAAAGGTTTGCAAAATCCTCTATAGCTTTATAAAATGGTTATTTGGGATTACTAGGTGAAATTTTCGGGTTTTCTTATTGTTTGTCTTTCTGCCTAATGCAGTGGAGTAGGATCCCTATTGTTGTATGAAGCTTAGCTGCAAGTAACATGCTCTTATAATAGCATTGTAAACCTCTGTTCATTGTTTACCAACAATCTTATTTTGATCCCCAAACTTTTAAAATGTGTCAATTTAATACAAAACCGTTTAGTGGAAAGTAAACTTCTAAAATGTGTCAATTTAATACAAAACCGTTTAGTGGAAAGTGAAAGGGTGTAAATGCGCTTAGGGTGTCATAATTTTTTTTTATCAACCATTCTAATGCCCAAATCTTTTAGAAGCTGATAGAGAAAAGCAATTTGTCAAAAACCAATCTGTTGCTTTGGTTCAATCTTGATTCTTGAGGAAGAATATGATGAACAGTTTTGAAGGGTAGTTTTGACATTTTTACAAGCTTTAAGTTGTGCATGTCATCACGTGATAGAGATAACTAATGGACTGCTAATGATAGGGAATAACTGACACATTTTGGAAATTTAGTACTGGATTGACACGTTTTGAAGTTCAAGGACCAAAGTGGGAATAAACCCAAAGTACATGGTACTAACATGCAACTTTCCCTGTTTTTTAAGTTTCTTCCAAATTACTTTAAAGCTCTTTGCCATTTATCAATTGAGGGTCATGCATGAACACATTGAACATTCCTTCTATAATCCCAAACAATGTACAAAGAATCGATACAGTCTGATACACCAGATGGGGCATATCGAATATAAACCCCTAAACAGCAAGGATTTCATGCATCGGTGACCCATTGATACAATACTTATCCGCCAATACAAAATTTGATCCTTGATTCAAAAAAGAAAAAATAATTGGCATTTCTTTCTAGTTTCCATGCTCAGATGGACAAGATTTAAAAGAATTAAATGCATATAAATGTTTATTTTCTATGAATGCTTTAATTTTAAATGGAGTAGGTGGAGAGGTCAAGAAGAAAAATGTTTTTTTTTTATATATATATGAAAGGAAGAGGGAGAGAAAAAATGGCGATGATGGCATGGCAAAGGAAGATATGAAAAGAGAAGTATATGAATTTTGTACTTGGACATTTTATCCAACCAAAATATTAAAATATTGTTCAAATTTATTGTTAGATCCAGATCAAGATACAAAACATTGGAACCATGACTTGTATAGAGGGGGAATCAAAATTGTTGGTCAATACAAACAAGAGAAATACAACCGACCAGAGATGTTTGATTTCCAGCAACCCCAATAAAATTCAATATCCACCAAAGTGGAGTAAATCATTTCAGCGAAGTTATCTACATGTGCAAGCCTTGGTTTACATTAATACAGATGATAGATTCACTTTCAAGTAAATAAAGTTGAACCATTTCAAGGATTTCAAAATCATAGAGAAAAGGCAGATGTCTGTCCAATGGGACTGTGATCCCAACCCTGTGCATCTCACCTTGTGTAATAGTATTCTCCTACTTGTCACCAGTGAAGTACAGGCATTCTACAGACTGATAGAGCATCAACAAATAAAAATATAAACACATTTCATTGTTTACTTGTTAACAGTGGTAATGCATCCACAAATGACATTTGTATCAAGTACGCACCTCTGCACCCAAAAAAAAAATATACATCAGTGAATGATTATCAATCAAATCCATGACCATCATCTAGTTATCTGAATGCTGATAAATGATAAAATGATCAAGCATAAGGCCCTCCTACCAGATACAGTTAAGTTCAAGTATTATATCATCCACTCACATATGTTATGGGAATAATAATTATGGTTAGAACACTAAAATATTGGGACAGCTTAGGAATAGAAACAACAGAATGACGCACACAGACTAATTGATTGTAATTTATATTCTCAGTTTTCTATCACTTTATAAATGAAAAATAGAGTCTATTCCCCAAATAATTTAAGATAATGGGGAATACATCCACATAGCTGCCCCTCTTAGGTATCGCTTATGCACAAGGAATGTCCCCATTGTATGTTTAAATAGGAAACTTTACATTGATGACAAACATATTCAAAACATCCACATGAGGAAAAAACATACAGTCAAGCTTTCTTTTGTGTTAAAATTTGGAGTACACGGATAGATGTAAAAGTTGTTTATTAAATTTTACATTTGACTTACACTTTGATAATTATTTGTTCTATATAAAGTATTAAACCCTCCTCTTCTGTAAGATGAAGCTTCAAAACATATGTATCATTTATTGTTAGTCAGTGATGGATTAAATCCACACGCTGTGGAAAAGTATCCAGAAAACAAAATCAAAGAAATTAAATGTCACTACTAGCAAGTTGCATATCAAAGAAAATGAGCCTAGGGTCAAGTGCTCAAAAACATACCATTCCTTGCTCCAAAATAGATACTGATTGATGAACTGACATCTACAACAAGCCCAGGCAAGACAACCAGCTGAATCTCTATATGGGAATTTGCATCCCTTCCATATATAAGCCAAGGTAGATGACATCCATATTGTTCCAAATGATGATAACTATAAAACATGAGATTTTTGTAAATTCTTGAGCCAACTATAGAGATTGGAGGAACAATGCAACTCCATATCCTCAAAACCAAAAAACTGAGAGTCCAAGGTGGCATTATACAACATGAATTTTTTGTTTTCATTTGTTTTTGAAATCACCACATTAGCAAAAGAAACAAATACATGTTCTTGAACTCTGTTTTTGTTCTCAAAGGAAAAAACATGTTGGTTTTGTTTTGAAAAACAATACTTGTTTTGAAACCAACAAAATATTGGTTTTAAAAACAAAAACAAACTTTCCTAGTATAGAAATTATATGATTTATGGAACATAATGTTGAATAATCAAATTAAAATATGTTTTTAAAACAAATTCAAGAACATGTATTTGGTTTTAGTTTTGAAAACAAAAAACACATACACAACCAATAACATGTTTCTTATGTTTTTGTTTTCAAAACCAATCTGTTTTCAAACAAATGGTTTTGACTTGTTGTTGGAACTTAGAACCAGCAACAACAAAACAATCCATGTTGTAGAACGCCCCCTAAATCAACACACCTTGTTGGCCACTTGAAAGGAATCCCCTCAGGTCTAAGCATATTTAAGAAATTTATAATATTTTTTAATGTTTACCTCCAGTTCTTCCGAACATAGCCTTCGATTGCATTGGATGGACCAATCAAATCCTCCAGTTACACCTCCCCAGCCACATTCACATCCCCTTTCTCCTGATATCTTATTCTTTTTTCAGAGGGTTTACTTGGTAAATATGCTGGGTATCATCATTTCTCTCATTGCTGGGTTCTTCGATCTGCATTGCGAAATCCCCCAACCCATATTTTTCTTGTACATTGTTGGCATGCCAATGATTTTCATAAATGATTCCGATGGCATTTGAAGCTCAAACAACAAGACAATGAACATAATAACCACATGGAACAAAGCGGTTAAAAAAAAAAAAATAGTCAGTCAAAAGATCCCATCATTCAACAGATGAAGAAACTGTAATTTTGAATGTAAAAAAATAAGAAGAAGAAGTAAAGCTAAAATAGACTTACCCATCTTTGTTCTCCCTCCAGTGAAAATCACCCTTTGCTCTACTGCTGAAGAAACACTTTCTAAAAAGAGAGAAAAAAAAAAGGAAAGAACAGATAATCTGTTTTTCGTGCCAACAAGGAAAAGGGTAAGTGAATGGATTACCCTTTCGTTCTTGTTCTTCTATCAGCGAAACCTTCTGAGAGAACATAGAATCAGGTTTTTATTAAAAATGACGAGAAAAATAAATGACTAAGCTACTGGCGTGAGTTGCCTCTTCAAATTTTCCTTGCGAATGGAAGAACAATAAACAAAAAATAAGCTCGTGCAGAGTTTTGTGGGGAGGAAGAAGGTAGAATGAACTTAAGAAAACCCTTGTTTCCACCGCTTGGAGAAATGAGATTAAATCACTCTTCGTCCCTTCCAACAGGAGAGTAAACGTCCACTGACTCACTGAGGCACTGAATAACGTTTGTTCACTGACGTCTTTGATGATGATCAGACTGACTCCGGATCTCCTGCCCACGAAAACTGCCCACGTCTACCCACAACACACTATCTCCCGTGAATTGAGAACATCTCCCCTACATTATACAATAGAAAAGAATGAGATGTTCTCCATATGTGGTTGCAATGTTATGTGGGTAGACATGGGCAGAGTTGTGAGGGGTGTAAATAGATCGAATTCAAATCGGATCAGGCAATATTCAAATTTGAATTCGATTAGAAAATCTGATATCTGAATTCGATTTGATATCCGACAGATATTGAAAATTAATATCCGAATTTGAATTCGATTAATCAATTATTTTAGATAATTAATAAATATATAAAACAAATATTTTATTGATATAAAGTAAATAAATATAACTTAATTATATAAAGTATTTTATATAAGAATTAAATAATCGGTTGAATTCGAATATTTGTCGAATTGAATCAGGTCATATCCGAATTCAGATCTGATTAACGAATAGGATATCTGAATTCAATCGACTACATATTTGAATTATTCGAATTCGATTTGATTGTCAAATATCAAATTTGAAATCGAATTTTCGAATACTGTTGACATCTTTAATTGTATGGAGATCCGGATTCGATCAGACTTTTAGGAAGTTTGTTCCTCGGAGACTATCAGGCAAGTTTAGCTATATCATTAATATATAAAAGGTATTGTACATGTTGTAACCATGGGGTGGTGGCGCAGTTGGCTAGCGCGTAGGTCTCATAGCTAAAGAGTGATCCTGAGGTCGAGAGTTCGAGCCTCTCTCACCCCAACAACAGTTTTTCACCCAACACATTTCACCCATTCAACCCATCTATCTATTACCTTATTCTATTTTTTTGAGTGATGATGAACCGATGATGATTCTTTCTGGCAGAATTTTTTTTTTGGGTAGCGATGCTATATTACCATTGGTTCTTTTTTATCCGAGCTAATGTTAGGTTTTTTTTTTGGTAGATTCTAAGGCTACGTCTAGGGGTGCAAATGATCTGATCCAATCTGATATCTGATCTTAGGTCTCTGAATTTTTATTTAAGAGTGAGGTACTATACTTTCAGATTCCAAACATTATTTTCTTATTAGCATTTCGTAAGTTTTAAGTTTTTAAGAGACCATCTTGCTCTCTCCTTGTTTGCATCTTCAAAATCCAAATTTTGAGCATTTCATATCGTCTTCTTGTTTGTATTCCATTATTGAATTGTCCAACAAATTTGTTGGATTACCTAAAAAATAGATGTATCCTAGTTAGCGGTGGCAATTGGGTGGGTTGGGTTGGGTTTGGTTTAGGTTGAGCTTCAATCCAATCCATTTAACCCACCAACCCATTAATGACCCAGTTGTATAAAATTAAATGGGTTGGGTTCAACCCAAACCCGTTTTAACCCAATCCAACCCGCCCAAACCCATTAATCTTATATTTATCAACTTAAAAAACAAACTAACGATCTCTTAACAAATAAGTTGGTCATAGCTTGGTGATAATTGTAGTTATTATTTACACAAGTGATGAAAGTTCAAATTACATTACATGCATGTTATTTTTACATAAGTGGCAAAGCCATTTGACTATGTTCGGATTTCGGGTTTGACTGAACCACTTAAGTTCAAACCGGTTAGACCAATTTGAACTATCTAATTGGATTATCTTCGAGCTAATCACATAAGGGTGGTTGAACTGTTTAGATCTAGATTAGTTCGGTCGGACCAGATCAGACTGGTTCAGTCAATGATGGATTAACTTAGACCGACTATATCAGGTTTGTGCACAGGTTTGTGACCGAACTGAGTGACCCGATGTGGGTCAACATAAGTAAATTGGGTCGGGTTGCGTGGATATTGGTTGGCCAGACGGTCCAGACCAGGCAAAGTGCGCAGACACTGAACCATTTCGCCCGAAGGCGTTTCAGGTTCAGGTCGACCTAGATCGGCTTGTACTGAGTTGGGCCAGGCTTTGTGAATACTGGTTGGAGTTGCCGACCTAAACCAGGCAGAGCAAGTGGTACCGAACCATCCCACCCGGTCCTATTTCGGATTGGTATATGTTGGATCGGGTCAAGCCGCATTGAACTGGTCCAAACTCTGGTCAAATTGATTTGGATTTATGTTGGGTGAAGTGTATTGATTCAAGACAAAACTAAATTTAGTCAATAATTAATAGAAAATTAATGCATTAATTATAAATTATTTAATTCAAATGAAGAAAATTAAAAAAAAAGGATAAAGAATTAATACTTATGTCTGTAATGATTAACCCAATGGTTATCCACAACCCAACCCAACCCATTTAAATGGACGGGTTAGGTGATCAGTTGATTATGCAACCCATCAAATAAATAGACGAATTGGATGGATTAGATACTAAATTGCCACCCCTAAGCCTAGTGATAAAAAAATCTTTCTCTTCTGAGCATTTCAAATAATGAAAGTATGTTCGTATAACATTTGATCTTTTTGAATCCAAGGAGATAAAGTATCTCCCAAATAAAGTATTATGTTCCATCTAAATGAGTGGCGTCCCATGATGAGCTTGTTTAATAGTAAATTGTCCTAACATATTTTTCATCCCACAAGCAATGAAGATTTGAGTCTATAAAATCTTTGAATTGAACATTCAAATGGGAAGAATGAATAGGACCCCAAGGAATAGCCGAAGAATTATCCTATTGAATCCGAGGAACTTTGCAAACCAATCCTACATCTCTTTGTTTAACCAAATAAACAAGCTCTCCTCAAGACACTTTAGGCTATATTAGAGAGGGAAACTTGCACGTGTGCGTTTTTAAATATTTAGGCTCTATTAGACACTCAAGCTGAAATGTTGCTATTATCCGTGTGTCTTTCCTTATAACAAAACACCAAAACACCATTGTTTTTTTTGAAGAGAATATTTAGAATCCTTGGTTTTCGGAAACCCTAACGGCCTAACCCACCATTATTATTTACATGAAATAACCTATCCCAAAAGTACCACTTCAGCTTAGTAGGTGAATCTTATCAACGCCACTTGACAATATAGTCATCTTAGTAAGTCTTTGGCATCAATGCCATTTCTTCGTAAAATGGCACCACATCAATGCCATGATTAAAATCTTTATTTTTTTTTCAGAAGCAATAATCAAGGTTCAAAATATCGATACAAGGTGACGTCAGTAGGGCATATTGGATTGTATCAGTATTTTTTTTTTCAAAATTGGTTCAGAGGGGCTGGTTTAAGGTCGGTATACCATCTGAACCACTTGCTGGCCTGAAACACCCCTTGTAGGGGCGTGTCGGGAAGGCTCCAATACGGGCCGATACGTAACGAAATTTTGATCCTTGGCAAGAACAATGGCACCAAATAGAAAACCAAAAAAAAAAAAGTTTTATGAGAAAATGTAATGCATATGGAAGACCACTTTTTGAGAAAATGCCTCTCAAGAAACACCATTAGTTCCAAACATTGACTTAAAATAAACATTAATATAAGGAATAGGAGTGGCCCATATAACAAAATAGATTTAATAAGAAATTGCTTTCTAGCTTTGAGACATAATGTTATTTCCATTTACTCAAATTGTAAGGAGCACAAATGTAAATATGTAGAGTGCAAAACCTTATCTTTCATATATATTTGCATTATACATATTTGTATTTATACTCATTCCAAACTAAACCTAAGGCTCCATTTGGAAGGAGTACAAATACAAATGTGTAGAGTGCAAAACCTTGTATTTTGTATTATTTTGTATGTATTTGTATTGTACATATTTGTATTTGTACTCCTTCCAAACTGGGCCTAGGTTTAGTTAGGAAGGAGTGCAAATGGAAATCTGTACAATGCAAAACCTTGAATTTTGTATTATTTTGTATATATTTGCATTGTACGTATTTACATTTGTACTCCTTCTAAACTGAGCCTAAGATTGTATTTAGTTGCAATGCAAATTTATGATAGTGCAAATGATTTAAGTGCAAATTTTGATTTTGTTTCAATTTTTTGCTGTATTTTGTTTGATTATAATACACATGAAGTAAAATAAGGCTTGAAGAAGAATAAAAACAAAGCCTAAAATAAAATTAAACCAAAATTTGCATTGTTTTTCATTTGCACTTTCATACATTTGTAATGTAGAGTGTAAATAAAATTGCACTACAACTTATTCAAAATATAAGGCAAAGGTAAAGATTTATGTTTAAAGGTACACAGGAAATCCTAGATACTCAACATTTTAACCTAAATGCTTTCCAACGGTACTATTTTGATATTTTCGATGAATTCCCGCCATTTTGAACCCAGAATAGATTAAGAGTTCTATTTTTCCCGCCACCCGCCATTTGCCGCGGCCACAGGGGTAGAAACGAGATTTCAGATACTCATATTAAAATATTCATCTTGTGGAGATGAACGGCCAGGGACACGTCGGCTCCATACAGAGACAATAGCATTTTTCTGCATCTCCAAAAAAGCCCCTTAGAAACTGATCAGGAGACGAATTGTGTCCGGTTGACAGGGCAATTAGGAAATCCGTGACAAGGGTATTTTCGCCATTTCATTGGAACTTTAAATGATTGCTTTCCATTGGAACTAAAACTGGTGGCATTTCAGTAAAATTCATGTATCACAAGGGTAAATACCCGTCGTCGAGGGAACAAAAGAGCCGATTTTGGGAGAGCGCTTAGGGAGCGCGATAGCGCGATATATAACACAGCAGGACTGATTAATTCAAGACTTGATCTCCATTTCCCTCTCTATTCACTTCGATTCGTTTTCTCTTCTCTGCGATTTGTTTTCCAATCTTAAGCTATTCAGATTTCTCTTCATCCTTTCCTCTAATCTTTTCTTTCTTGTTTTTCTTCACTTTTCATCTCTGTTCGTGAATTCTATATTCGAGTTTCGCCATTCCCATCGGGTTCAGGAACCCTAATCCCTAGTCCCCCCCTCTCAAACAGTTTCAGAGACCCAAACTCGAGCCCTAACCCTAATAGATTTCGAAACCTCGCCCTTCTAATCCGAGGATCGTGGAACGAGTCTTCGGGGGAAGCATAACTAGTAAAGTTTCTCATCTTGTTTTCTGCTTATTCCGTCGTTGTTTTCAGTTTGCAGGTACCGAAAACCCTAATCGTAGTTTTGGATTTGAAATTTTGTGCAACAGAGGACGGGAACCTTCAGCCACTGTGAAACAGGAGAAGAGGTTCAGTTTTGTTGGCGGTCTCGTATTACTGGTTTTGGGGATTGCAGAAATAAGACGTAGTTGAGCCCTAACATCAGAGGGTTTCTTATGACTGGTAGTAGAGAGGATTCCCTCTGAGTACAAGAAAGGTGAGTCTTTATTCAGTTCTTTTTTTTTTTCTGAGTCGTGGTTTATGTTTTCATGGAGATTCATAGGGATTTGAAGTAACCCTAGTTGCGCCTCTTATACCTTCTTTTACAGGAAACGGGCTGGCGCTACTTAGTACAAGAAAAATCGTGAGTTCCTGTTGCAGTGTGTTTGGGATTCTGATTGCTTTTGTTATTTGTGAGGTGTTATTTGGCACAAGGGGAAAGCTGAGAATTACAAGCTGTTCGTCATCTAATTTATTCATCAGTTTCTTTGGAGGAATTATTGTAGTTTTGAACTTTTCTAGATTCAATAACCCTTAATGGCGGATAATAGGAATGGAAATGTCAAGGCTCCAGATGGTAAAACTTCTGGACAATCCAATACGTATACCATTAATCTAGAGAACTTTAACAAGCGGTTGAAAAGTTTTTACTCACACTGGGATCAACACAAGAATGATCTATGGGGTTCTTCTGATGCTATTGCAATAGCCACTCCTCCGGCTTCTGAGGACCTTCGGTACCTGAAATCCTCGGCTCTGAATATTTGGTTGCTTGGTTATGAATTTCCAGAAACAATCATGGTTTTCACGAACAAGCAGATCCATTTCTTGTGTAGTCAGAAGAAGGCCTCTCTGCTGGAAACCCTGAAAAAATCAGCCAAAGAGTCGGTTGGTGCTGAGGTTGTGATTCATGTAAAGGCAAGGGGTGATGATGGATCTGCATTGATGGATGGGATATTGCGGGCTGTACATGTTCACTCAAAATCTGATGGTCATGAATCTCCTGTTATTGGGTACATAGTGAAAGAAGCTCCTGAAGGGAATCTTTTGGAGATCTGGGCTGAAAAGCTAAGAAATTCTGGGTTCCAACTTGGCGATGTAACAAATGGGTTCTCTGACCTGTTTGCTGTTAAAGACAGTACTGAGCTTATGAATGTCAAAAAGGCAGCATTCTTGACTTCATCTGTGATGAAACATTTCGTTGTACCAAAACTTGAGAAGATAATTGATGAGGAGAAGAAGGTCTCTCATTCTTCATTGATGGATGACACAGAGAAAGCCATACTTGAGCCTGCAAAGGTTAAAGTAAAGCTCAAGGCAGAGAATGTTGATATCTGCTACCCTCCCATATTTCAGAGTGGGGGAGACTTTGATCTCAGGCCGAGTGCTTCAAGCAATGATGAGAATCTGTATTATGACTCCACAAGTGTGATCATATGTGCAATTGGGTCCCGCTATAATAGTTACTGCTCTAATGTTGCAAGGACATTTTTGATTGATGCCAATGCTATTCAGAGTAAAGCTTATGAAGTTCTCCTCAAGGCCCATGAGTCAGCCATCAATGCATTGAAGCTCGGGAATAAAGTCAGTGCTGCTTACCAAGCTGCCTTGTCTATAGTTGAGAAGGATGCTCCTGAATTGGCTGCAAACCTGACCAAGTCTGCTGGAACTGGGATTGGCCTTGAGTTTCGTGAATCAGGGTTGAGCCTGAATGCTAAAAATGATCGTGTGTTAAAGTCTGGGATGGTTTTTAATGTGTCACTTGGGTTTCAGAACTTGCAAGCTCAGACCAACAAGTCAAAGACCGAGAAGTTCTCTCTGTTGCTTGCAGATACAGTTATTGTTGGTGAAAAGCTCCCAGAAGTTGTGACTTCAATCAGCTCTAAAGCAGTCAAGGATGTGGCCTACTCTTTCAATGAGGATGAGGAGGAGGAAGAACAGCCAAATGTGAAGGCTGAGTCTAATGGCACAGAGGCATTCTTGTCAAAAGCGACACTTCGGTCAGACAACCATGAGATGACAAAGGAAGAACTACGGAGGCAGCACCAGGCAGAACTTGCCCGCCAAAAGAATGAAGAAACTGCCAGGAGGCTGGCTGGGGGTGGGTCTGGTACAGGGGATGGTCGTCGGACTGTGAGGGCATCGGGTGAGTTGATTGCTTATAAGAACGTGAATGATATTCCCCAAACAAGAGAATTGGTTATTCAGATTGACCAGAAGAATGAGGCCATCATCTTGCCAATCTATGGAAGTATGGTCCCTTTCCATGTAGGCAACGTGAAGACTGTTGTTAGTCAACAGGATAATAATCGGACTGGCTATATCCGAATAATCTTCAATGTACCAGGGACCCCCTTCAATCCTCACGATTCAAACTCCCTGAAGTTTCAAGGGTCTATATATCTGAAGGAGGTCTCATTCCGCTCCAAGGACCCAAGGCACATAAGTGAAGTGGTACAACAGATCAAGACCCTCAGGCGACAGGTTGCATCAAGGGAGTCGGAGCGAGCTGAAAGGGCTACATTGGTTACTCAGGAGAAGTTGCAGCTTGCAGGTAACAAATTCAAGCCAATAAGGTTGTCTGACCTGTGGATCCGTCCTGTCTTTGGTGGTAGGGGAAGGAAGATCCCTGGTACTCTGGAAGCCCACGTAAATGGGTTCCGGTTTTCTACTTCAAGGCCAGATGAGCGTGTAGATGTCATGTTTGGTAATATCAAGCATGCATTTTTTCAGCCTGCAGAGAAGGAGATGATTACCCTCCTGCACTTCCACCTTCACAATCACATCATGGTAGGAAACAAGAAAACTAAAGATGTCCAATTCTATGTTGAGGTCATGGATGTGGTCCAGACCCTAGGCGGTGGAAAGCGATCTGCCTATGACCCAGATGAGATTGAGGAGGAGCAGAGGGAAAGGGAGCGCAAAAATAAAATAAATATGGACTTCCAAAACTTTGTTAACAAGGTGAATGACCTCTGGGGACAGCCCCAGTTCCGTGATCTTGACCTTGAGTTTGATCAGCCATTGAGGGAGCTAGGCTTCCATGGTGTTCCCCACAAGGCCTCTGCTTTCATTGTCCCCACTTCTAGCTGTCTGGTTGAGTTGATAGAGACACCCTTCTTGGTGGTAACCCTTAGTGAGATTGAAATTGTGAACCTGGAGAGGGTTGGGCTTGGGCAGAAGAGCTTTGACATGACAATTGTGTTCAAGGACTTCAAGCGAGATGTCCTTCGGATTGATTCCATCCCATCCACAGCTCTTGATGGCATCAAGGAATGGCTTGATACAACTGACCTTAAGTACTATGAGAGCAGGCTGAATCTTAACTGGCGGCAAATATTAAAGACAATTACAGATGATCCAGAGAAGTTCATAGAGGATGGGGGATGGGAATTCCTGAACATGGAGGTAAGTGACTCAGACTCAGAGAACTCAGAGGAGTCAGATCAGGGATATGAGCCATCAGATGTGCAGTCTGATTCTGAGTCATCATCTAAAGATGACAGTGAGTCACTTGTTGAATCAGAGGATGAGGAGGATGATTCTGAGGATGATTCAGAGGAAGAGGAGGGAAAAACATGGGAAGAATTGGAAAGGGAAGCTAGCAATGCTGACAGGGAGAAAGGTGATGAGTCAGATAGTGAGGAGGAGAGGAAGAGAAGGAAGATGAAGGCCTTTGGGAAAGGTCGGGTCCCTGACAAAAGAGACCCTAGAGGTGGTCCTCCTAAGCGGGCAAAGTTAAGGTGAAGGATGATAGAAATTTTGTCTTGTGTACCATGTGGTAGCTATGCCAGCAGCATCTGGAGCAGCAGTAATAGTACTAGATATTATCTTGCCTTTTCTTGTTTATTTTGGGGTTTCAGATGAAATTGGTAGATGCACTTCTTAGCTTTTGTATATCAGGGAATAATTCCTTTTGTTAGAAGCAGATGAACCTTTTTTTTTCCCTTCAATGGATTTATTTGGTCTTTTTATGCCCTAGTTATTATAGCTCTCTCTTTTTATATTCGCCATATTAAAATTGTGCATCTCTTTAACCTTTTATGGTGTAAAATCATCTGTTGTTGGATGACATTGGCCATGATCCGTATACGTCAGGAATGAAGCCAACATTCTTTTATTGCATGTTCAACGTGGGTAGTTTCATCTTATTAACTTTGGGAATTTTGCTTGAACCAATTTTGAATCTGGAAACAGAATGCAGACTTTAGGGCTATGGAATTTTGTAGACCATAGCTCCAGGCTATCAATGACATAAGTGAAAACTTGCACATGCTGAAATCTGAATATTCCATACAATGGGTTAGCCATAGTATGATCTCTTGGTAAAGATCAACCCAATAAAGACAATTGCAACTACCAATTCACTTTTCTTGTGATTTCTGAAGGGTCAAATGTGTACCAAAAATGGGTAGGAAGAGTCTTTGAAAAGAAGATGCACTGATTTTATTAGAAAATTTCCGAGGTATGCACATGCACTGTCCACCAGGACCACCATCAAATAGAACCTCACCATCTCCTCAACGAGCGAGTGATTGAAACACCCAATATGCATGTTTGTGTGTAACTGTGTATTGGGGTGTATTGATACTTTCAACCTTACTCCGAACTTATTTTGTGTTAATTTTGTTCGATTAACTTTAAGGGTTAACTAACCTAGACAAAATATGCAAATGCAAATTTGAAATATTTCTGTAGATGACAATGGGGGGGGGGGACTCCTTAATCCACCACCTGGCATCCAAACTGTCCTAGAAGAGGCTGGGTTTGGTAATTTTGGAATAAGGTTCTGATATTCTTAAAAATGTATGAACACCCAAACGTTTCTTAGGTATTCTGTTGTTTGGATTAGCAGGGGCATTTTTTCTTTTGAATTCCTGGTATTACCTCTCTATGCAATCTAAGGTTATTCTTTCTAATAAAAGTTTCCCTTTTTTGTTCCTGACTTAAAAAATACACATTAACATACAGTATAAGGTTTCGTTTTATGTGCTTATAAACTATAGTTCTAGTCTTGTTTTAACATGCTATATGTTTTATTTCTTAGGAACTGTTTGATAACAATTGAACTGGCTGAGCTGAAAAGCTTATTTCCTTTATCTTTCAATGAATAATTTTTTAAATGGCTGAAGCTGAAGCTGAAGCTGGATTGATTATTATACTCTGGAATGTTGTATTATTTAATTATTTTATCCACTAAATGATAAAGCAATAAGTCATTCAGTTCAGCAAATTCAGCTGTCAAGCGTATTATCAAATAGACCCCTACTTTCGTTAACTTTTTTAGCTTTCAGCTCAGACAATTAATGCCTGTTTAGCAGAGCTGAAGCGCAGTGGCTTCTGGCTTGCTGAGGTGGGCTTGACATGAAAAGCCTATAAGCTATGTTTAGTAAAAAATTCAGAGAACCCAAATCAGCTGTTAGATAGTCATTTGATGAATAATTCATCCAGAATGCTTCAAAGCAGCTGAACCAGCTTAGCTGAATCTTCAGCTAGGCAGTCCCAAACAGGCCTTAGATGGTTTGGCTCACCAAACTAGCAGAAAATGAGTTAACTCATGGGCTGCGTATTGTAAAATTGGTTAGTGGTTCTTGAGGCCCTTTATGTGGTTCGCCATCCACATAACCATTTTATACTTCTGAAAACTGCATAAAACCTGCCAGAAAAGCTTCTTTTCACTAATTCTGTGTGAAGTTACATGAATTTAATTTCCCATTTGTGGAAGGAAATCCATTTATTGCTATACTGGGTTGGATCAGGGGGATTCCATATGACTATGAATGAGAGGCACGAAGATCATTTGCATATAGGGAGGTATGGACCATTTACTCATAAGTCATAAATTAAATGAGATAAGGCAGGTATATACATCAGGAATTTTCTCTTACCAAAAAAATACATTAGGATTTTTCAATTGTAGTTGTAGTGAACCTCACCTTTTACACTAGTTCTATTACTGCAGAAACTTAAGCCATGGTTGGTTAGTGGAGTAGAAGTGGGAGGTGGCTTGCCTGTCTGAAGATCTGATTATTAATGTTGAGCAACTCAAAGCTCCCTAAGTTTGTAGGAAAAAGGCTTATGATGCTAATTGCTGAAGTGGAAACAATTTTGAGCATCATATGGAATTGAGGAGGTCTTGGGTGCTATACGTTCTGGGAATGTGGAGATGTCTAGTAAAAAGTATATACTATTAAAATACTTCATTATTGTTTGATTTATAACTTTATATTACCTGCAAGAAGGGGTCTAAAATGTTGCCATTGTTCTATTTTCTAAGTAACATTTTATATGAAAAATTGACATGTTTGTGTTCGACACACAGAGAAGTGTCCAGTAGAAATGTTATTATGTCAAATGAGATAGAATGTAAAAAAAGGAAATGTAGAAGTGTCCTCAAGAAATCTGTTTAGTTTTAGAATCCCAACATGTGTGCAACACAAACACGTCTGTTTAGGAGTGTTCATGCAACACTGTTTCTACAGGGTTTCATCTTCTTTTAGATTTATACCAGGTCCATATCTTTTTAGATCCTTACCAGAGTTCTAAACCCTGCTTTTTGCTCTCTTCCCACCCCATTAAAAAACTCTACCTTGATTGTCCCCTCATTAAAGAGAAAACCAATTTTATAACTAGGTTTTCAGTTTTGTTGATAGACTGTAAAGAGCACCAACATGCTCAGCCACACTTCCCTTCTGAGATTTATTAACATTACCCACAAATAAAGGAGGTGAAGATCTCGAACTAGTACAAAGATTGTGTCTTTGTAAACTGCCGGCATACCTAGAGTAAGAACATTCTAGGTTTCCATTTTTTCTGCTGCAGGCTTTACTGCCAGAGAAGGTATGCCTTAAGGGCCAGAAACAGTATGAGATTCACTCCATTCCCCTTAATCTATTACATTGACGCCAGCAAAAATACAAAAAGTTTCTCAGAAGGCCTTAAAAAACCTGGAGCCCAGGGTCTAGGGTGGTATTTACCAATTGTTTTGTAGCAAAGGCATTTAAGGAACATCTATAATTGGGATGTCCATAGTTTTCAAAGCACCAAAGCGAGTCTAATTGACAGGCGGGCACCTTATTGTCTAGGTGACGAGGTGTTTTTTTTAACCTTTGAATCCTAGGGTAAGTCCCTAGGCTCCATAGCAACCAGCAATCATCTTTCACTAGTAGTTATCAAAAATCTTATAAAAAGTATAAACAAGATATTAAAACATAGAAAATCAACATATTTATGAGAAGAAAAAGAAGAAAAGAAGAAAAGAAGAAAAGAAGAAAAGAAGATTCAGAAATATAGGGGCTGAGACCCTGTTCTTGTCTCAGGAAAAGAAGAATTAGACAAAATTTTAAGTTCTTCCTTTTTTATCAGTTCAAGCTTTGATATCTTCATGGGTTCAAGACAGCATATGCCAACATGTGTGTTGATTGAACCCTAACAAATAAAAAAATAATAAAAATAAACTAGTATATAAACCTACAAAACAAATATTTTAGTGTAACAATTTCTACTTTATTATTATAATCTCAATTTCTCAAAATATAAAGAATACAAAGATACTTTTAGCATCATGTACAAAATAGCTAGACACTTGTACGAAGTGACCCTCCATGGGCACCTTGTTGCCTAGGTGCCTAGGGTAACCCTTGTATACTTGGGCTATATGGGAAGACATACATGATTTAGCATAGGGCTTCTTCTTGTTGATCTTGTTACTCAACTGAACTCATCTCAGCCTTAATTCTAACTATTTGGGGTGCACTATAAGAATCCTGACCTGCTGTCTTCTTCTATTGAGAACTATGTTCTGTTAAACTGCAAGTCCTTGGATCATTTCTTACCACTTCAGTCCTTGATCTCATTGATTCTCTTACTAATGAAAAAAATGGTGTTCATTTGGGTTGATATTTCATATTTTTTGCTTTTCTGTAATTTACTTGAACTGGAATGCAAGGTATTGTAAGGAATCTCTACAAATTGCACACTGGTGCATAGGCAGAAACATGGCCGAGACTTTCAATTTTTATTTTTTTAGTCTGTCAAAACTATCTATTCTATAGATTTCCTTTTTTATTGTTTTTTCCATCCAAAAGACACATGTGATTATGGTGGTTATTGTTATCAACTCATTTGGTGTAAGAAATATAGTCCTTTTCCTTTCCAATCTGTATATAGTTCTTATAGTCTAACAAATTACTAGGTGGTCATGAGTTTTGAAATAAATTTTATATTAGATTCTTTAGTTAAGGATTTGAGAAATAATTGAATCCCATTGATTGCAGACTTGGTAATTGAGGAAACAAATATAAGAACCTAGAGATACCAATCGAAAGAAAGCAAAGTATTTTATTGTATTGAAGTAAACTTTGAAAGATATGCACCTACACGAGTACATTGAAAAGCTGTAAATAGGGATATACAAAAAAGGTCATTGCAAAAAATTAAGGAAACAGAGTCCCAACATAAAAAAATACTGGTTGGACTCATTGAAAATGCTTTCAAATTGTTAGCCATGAACAAAAGGTTCCTTTGTGATTCTTCTTTACTACTAGGGGTGAGAAAGAAAGCCCGAAAAACCAAACTGGACTAAAAAACCAACCAAAACCGAACCAAAAATCCGGTTAACCGAACTGGTCGGTTTGGTTTCCGTTTGTTATTCTTAAAGAATTGCAAGTTTCGGTTCAGTTTTGGTTAACCTTTTTAAAAAACCGGCGGTTAACCGAACTGACCGGTATATATATATACAGTAATATATATTATGTATTATATATTATATATTTATTTTTTTAAATCAAAATAAACCCATCACCATTTGACTTTTTGAGTTTTCCCCCTTTCCCCTTCTTTGATACCTAAAGGCTAATACCAAAACTGAAAACCCTTGCTTTCCTCTGGCACCGGTCGTCATCTTCCGTCATTTGACATCTGCATCGGTCGACAGTCGTCCTCCAACGGTCTCTCCCCATCCCTTCTCTGTTATGGCCACGCCAGAAGGCCCAGAATTGAGATCTCTTTCTTTCACTCTCTCTCTCGCCTGTCATCTCCTCCGCCGCTTCGCAGCAACACTGGTCGCCGACAAGCACCAAGCCACCAAAGCCAGGCGCCAGCTACTCCCTCTCCGGCGACACCTATCATCTCCGCCACCTCTCACTTAAGGTTCAGGTGACAGCAACCAGTCTGACACTGGCAAATCGGCCACCACTTATGGTGTTCATTGTCCAAGTTTGACTTCAGGCCTTCAGCTTGTTTAAAGTATTTATTTTATTTATTTTTGCATAAATATTATTTGTAGTGTATTTTTTTAATTTTTTTGCATGGCCTTCAGGCTTCAGCTTGTATTTTCATTTCAACTTGTTCATTTATAGTGTATTTTTTCATTTTTTTGGATTGTTACTGAATGAGTGAATGAATGTAGATTAATAGTTTAGTTTGTTTTACTAAATGAATGTTGATTAAAAGTGAAAAAAAATATAAATTTAAATCAATTTATTTTAATACGTAAATTGATTGATGGAGGGAAGGTTTTTTTCCTTTTTCTTTTTTTTTTCTTTTAATTTTGAGTGGAAGGTTACTGAACAAAAAAACCCAAAAAAATGAACCGCGGTTAACTGGTTCCATTGGTTCGGTTTTGGTTTGAATTATTAAGAAACCGACCAAGTCGGTTCGGTTGAAAAAAAACCACACGGTTCAGTAACTGAACCGTGAGCACCCCTATTTACTAGAGCCATTTCATTCTGCTTATTTTTAAAAATTCTTTGATTCCTTTCCTTCCACACTACCCAGATGATTGCAGCAGGGAATATGCTCCACAGGGTTCTCCCTCTTCTACCATTTTTTGGATAAGTACCTCCTCTTCTGCTTGATATTTATAACCTCCTTCCTTAGAATAGCTGAAAGTAGAGAACTAAGTTGGCATACTTATAAACCAAATCAAGACAAAGGCATAACCCACAATTGATGAGTGAAGCTACAGTGAATGAAAAGTGATCTAAAGACTCAGTGCAGACCCCAAATAGACTGCAACTCTCATTGATCCTGTCCATTCCTCTTTTGATTAACTTGTCAGAAGTTAAACACTTTCCAAGGGTAGCAGTCCAAACTAAGAAATCTACCTTGGAAGGGATGTATTGACACCAGGTTCTGGACCAAGGGAAATGAGTGTCCTGTTGCTGAGATCGACAACTATAGAAAGATTGAACAGAAAGCTGTCTTGATTTCTCCCAACTCCATTCCCTCTTGTCTTCTGCTGAAACATCCTATGGCCCAGATTCTGGACCAAGGGAAAAGATACTAGTGCATTTTTAGCAGTAGGGATACTTGAAACATAGGATGAGGTTTGATGGGATGGAAGGTAAGGAATGGTGTGTGTGTGTGTTGTGTGGCATTATTACTGTGGCATGAAGGGCTTCAATATTTTGGTTGGACCTCTTGTTTGTTTCTTGGTGGTACTTGAAGCAGGGGATAAGGTTGACAACAGGGAATATCCAAGGGGGTGTCAGAGTTATTACATGACTTTGCAATGTTTTAAGGGGTTTAGGTATCCATTTATTTCCTTGTCTTTGTATGTTGTGATGATGAGGGTGTCTGATTCTTGGGGACTTGGGATTGGTCTGCCCTGTTTCTGATGTTCTGCATGTAGGTGGGTTTGGGAGTAAAATTAGGTGTTTCAATTTGTATGTAGAATTGTAGAGTGCTGGGACGTTCTATGTAGGTTCTTCGTAGGTGATACTGAGGGACTCGATGTTTTGGTGGGGTATTTTCCATATGGTCGGAGTGGGCTGAATTCTATTTGATCCCTCCCTCTGGCTTGCTATTTCATTCTTTTTTTTTCTTTTTTTTGAAGAAGGTAAAGTATTGTATTGCAAAAGAAAGCCAAATACATCAGCCCATGTACAATGAGAACCTGTACATTGGGAATTTACAAAAAGATCTGAGAGATCAGTTAAAAAAAGGTCCAGCTTGCAATAAGGGCAAAAGCTGAATACCAATAAAAGCTCTTTGTACACTTAACCAAGAACATAGAGAACCTAAAACTTTGTTCTTGAGTGAAACTATATCATTAAAATATTGCCTTGTTATCAATTGTTTTTTTAACACTTCTGCTTGATGTTTGGGGTTGTTGACAAAATGCAGCTCAAAACTGTTATAAATATTAATTTAACCTTTTATCCAATGAGTGATGAATAAAATAGGAACCAAACAGTTTATTCAGCATGTATTTACTTGTGCTAGAGGTAGGTTAGAATTTCTTGATGTTTGGGATTGCATTCAGATAGGTGGATATGGTCAGTTCCTTCCAAGTGGTATTCATTTGAGGGTGAGAGTAGGAGAACGGTTAAATGGATGGGATCCATCATTCATGGCAGGGAGAAATGTTAATCCCAATCCTTAATTTTCCAGGTTGGTTCATTCAATGGGATTTGGCTTTTCCCATCCCTTACGCGAACCCAATGTTCTACTCAATTCAGTCCAACGACTCCAACCAAACCCTAATTTTGCTGGGTCCGTGGATCAGTGACCCAATTTGCGTCCCTAGTGTCGATGGGAAAATGTGGTTAAATAGAGCATTGCAGGAACAGCGTAAGACTTCATATTTCTTTCTTTTTTTGATAGGGAATATTTCTTGCCAAATAGTTTTTAACCTCTTTTGAAGCCAAATATTTTTGAAGCTTCACATGGGAATTCCAAGATATCATCCATGAGAAGAGCTGGAATCCACAACTCCATATGCAAACTTATACTCTGAATTCTTGTCCATTTGATCTCTGTATCAGAGCAAACTTGCAAAGGTGGTTACTGATGCAGGCATTATCAGTGGACTAGTTTTAGCAGTATACATGCTACTTAATCCTGTTGATCCGTCTGATGTCTGGGCGCCTTCATTGGCCCATTCTACTTCTCATTCTCTCAAATTCATAGCGTGTTCTTTTAACTTCTCAAAGCCTCTTGATACAAGGAATTCATTATCGGAAGACATTTGCTTCATACTCAAATGCGACCCAATAATCTCTTATATTTTCAGACTTTTGGTTATTTGCTTGACTGAAGAATGATCAAATTCCCTACAGTCCCGTAAGTATTTAGCACTGGAGGTCCATGCAAAACAGCATACAGTAGTTGGCAAAATGATAGGTCACTCTAGATATTGATCTTGCTTTGTGCCTATGTGCTGAATGGCTCTTTTCGAGCTCCAATAAGTAGACATTCGATCTTGAGTGATCGCATCTTTCCATCTGTAAATGCCATCTTGACCATTTGCCTTGTCCACAAACAGCCAGCCTTTGCCTATTGTAGGCATGATAAGAGAGTTTTGATGCCATTTGCTCTTGTTTCTCTCAAAGATAACCTTTTTTTTTGTTAGTTGTTGACCAGGAAAGTTCAACAGCAGAAGCATCAATTGCAGTGCAGCAACTTTAGTTTACTCACATTTGCTGTGAAGTAAGACCAATACGATCTGTTTTATTCTTTGGTCTAGATCTCAAATGAGAAAATGCTAATACATAAAAAAACTGAAGACATTTTCCACTCTACAGATAAACTTGGAAATGGGGAAAAAGACTGCAAATTTGTTCTTTCCTGTATCAGATAAATCAAGTACAACTTGTGCAATGAAAGGACAAACATTTGATAAAAGAAGCAACTCTAAAAGAGAATGAAGGATTAATTTCCAACGGACGCTCAATTGTCTAACTCCTGTGTCAGATCTGATGATCACACTGGAGTAGTTGCATTTCTTTTTTTGATGACTGTATGTACACACACACACACTGGCTGAGCATAGTGACTGGCTGCTTGTAATTCTCTTTTTTGCCTTCTTTACACCTGCTCGTTGTTTCCCTTGAGAATATTGTACTTGCAAAGAGGACATGTTGCATTAATTTTAAGCCACTTCACAATGCATGTGGCATGGAAATGATGGTTACAGGGAAGAGTATGGAGTTCTACCCCATCTTCATATGAGCTAAGGCAAATACAGCATTCCTACAATAGCAGATCGGAAGTTAGAGAGAGAGAGAGAGAGAGAGAGAGGGAGAGAGATTTACTGTGTAACAGATATGATGGATTGAAAAGTTATAAAATTGTATTACTTTGACAACTTTTACCAACCTAAATCAATGTTGAACTCATGCATTCCACTGCCATTCACAAGCCTCAATAAGGTAGAGCTTCATATGATGAACAACAACTTATTGAGAATGGTAGCAAGGATTTAAATTTCATAACTCATTGGAGCGTATTGGCCAATACATATCGTATCGGTGACCCTCTAATATGTCCCTACAATGGATGTTTCAGGTCCAACCAGTTTCAGGGGGGTAGATGGGCCTTAAACCGACCCCCCTAAACCAGTTTGAAAAAATAAAATAAAAATAAAGACAGCCAAAGATATCGATATTTAGAACCTTGAATGGTAGAACATGGTTCATGAAGGCTTGGTTAGGTCAAAACGACCCGTGAGTTTTATTAAATTCTCAATACGAGTAATAGTGTGCCAAAGACTACGTATAGAAGTTCATTTGACTATTTGAAGTTAATTAGATAAGGAAATGATGTATGGGCCAAGGATCAAAGTGTCAATATTGGGTATTGTGTTGGACAACTCGGATACGGATACAAGTACATATATGTTTTGAAAATGCATTGGTACGAATGAGAAATATGGAAATGTTTGAATACGCTAAGGAAACACATAAATTTCATAAATACATTAATAGCACTAAATTTAAGGTCAAATAGTTACAAATAATGTATAAATACATAGGAAATGTATATTTTAATAGTATGTATGAAAAAATATATTACAATTTATCTATCTGGATGCATAGATATCATACAACTTTATTGACAATACATCAATGAAGAGTCCAAGACACAAATGTTTATGCACCTATTGTATTTTAATTATTATATCAATTACTTTTTATTTACAATTTTATTTTTTAACATTAACAAAAAAAAGTCAACTAAATATTAAAATTTCAAATGTAAATTAAAATACAAATTAATAATTTATAAAAACAGATAATATTAACTTGAAATATATCATATTTGTTAAATTTTCTAAAATGCATATCATGTACAAGTTCATAATTTTCCTTTCATTGTTCAAAATTCCAGTGAAGGTTTCCAGTAGGTTGGAGAGATTAATGAGAGATTTTCTTTGGGAGCCGGGAGAGGAGAAGAGGGACCATAGAGTTAGCTGGAAAATGGTGACCAGGAGTAAAGCTTATGGAGGTTTGGGGCTCGGGAATATCGGGAAAATAAACTCGACCCTCTTGGGAAAGTGGTTGTGGAGATTCCCCTTGGAGAAGGAGGAGCTATGGGCTAGAATAGTGACAAACATACATGAGATGGAGCAGAATGGATGGGGTGCTGGAATCAGAGCAAGGTCCACAAGCAATTCACCTTGGAAAGCTATTCATGATTTGCTTCCAGTCTTCTCCCCACTTGTCAGGTATGATTTGAATTCTGGCACTTGCATAAAATTCTGGGAACAAACTTGGGTGGGGAATGTTCCACTTAAGGACTAGTTTCCTTCCTTGTATGCCCTCTCTGAGTTTAAAAATAAGCCAATTTCTTTTTTCATCACCCCTTCCTCCTCCAGTTCTGGGTTTGGGTGGAACCTGGGATTGAGGAGGGCTGTGAGGGACTCTGACTTCCACAGTGTCTTGAGCCTCCTTGACCTTCTTGATAATGTCTTCATTGACCCCTCTAAGGTGGACTCTAGAACTTGGACCTTGACCCCCACAGGCTCTTTTTCCTGTGCTTCCTTTTTCAAAGTCTTATGTCAGTCCACCAGTCCTGCAACCTCCCCTTTCCCGGTTAATGATGTTTAGTGCAGACCAATTCCTCCTAGGGTTGGTAGTTTTTGTTGGGAAGCCTATCTGGAAAGATTCAATACTGGTGATTTGATTTAAAAGAAGAGACCCAATACATGCTTATCACCTCATTGGTGTATGCAAAGCAGATGGGGAGACTGGTTTTCACTTACTGGTGTCGTGCCAATTTGCAAAGTCAATTTGGGAATGGACTTTTTCTCTCTTTGAGCATAGGTGGAACCCTCCATCAGATTTGCAGAGCCTATTTTCTCCTTCTTTGTTCAGGTGGCGCATGAAAAGGGAAAGGACTGTGTGGAGAGGACTGAGGGCTGCAGTATGCTGGTCTTTATGGGAAGAAAGAAATCTTAGAATCTTCTCGGATGAAGAGAGAGGGGCTGAAGAATTGAGGGCTATGATCCATATCAGGGCTGTACAGTGGCTGAAAATCTCTAGAGCTATTCACAGACTACACAGTGGATGACATGTTGAGGAAGTGGGGTGAGATTGCAAGCTGTATGAAGTCCAAATAAGTTCTGAAGGTGTCTTGGACACCCCCACCTGTTGGATTCCTAAAATTTAACTTTGATGGGAGTTGTAGGGGGAATCCTGGACAATCAGGGATTGGGGGTGTTTCTAGGGATGAGAACGGGGTCATTTCATCCATGTTCTCAGGTCCAATTTTAGTGGGAGATTCTCTTAGAGCTGAGATCTTGGCAGTTGTGGAAGGAGTTCAGAAAGCTAAGGAGATGGACATCAGAAAACTCATAATTAAAGGAGACTCGGAGGTAGTAATAGGGTGGCTGATGAAAGACAACTGTGAATTATGGAAGTACAGCAATAAGAGAAGAAAGTTCAAGTGGCTGGTGTGGGAAATGGAAATCAGGATGAGTTGGGTTAAAAGAACAGCTAACTCTATAGCTGATGGGCTAGCTAAACAGGGGATAGAAAGGGATGTAATGTTCTGGGCTAAGTTGTAACTAAATTGCTTCTTTTTTTCCTTTTCCTTCTTTGAGGACTTAAGTTGTTTTTGGAAGATAAGAGTGTTTGTCTTCCTTGCTGTAACTATTCTTGTGATATTTTAATAAAAATGCTGAAGTTGTTATTGATCAAAAAAAGAAAATAATTTTTTGAAATAAAAAATCAATTTTTGATATAGATGTAGATTAGTGGATTTGATAGATTCAAATTAAAATAATAAAGTTAATGCAAATTAGTGGGGTGCCTTAGTGGTTTAAGATAAAAATTATTATTAATATTTACAAAAATATTAATGCAAATTACAAAAATAAAAATAATGTGCACAAAAATAATGCATTTTTATAAGTTAATGCAAATTAGTGGGATGCCTTATAAAAATTATAAGTTAATGCAAATTATTATTAATGTTTTATTTCTATAATCTTATTATTTTTATTTACAAAAACAAAAATAATGTGCACAAAATTTTAAGATACATCTATCAAATCCACTAAATCATTTAAGATTTAGTTCTTTTGTTCATGTTTAAGATACATATAAAAATTTTAAGATACATATAAAGTTAATAAAAGTGGGATGGCTTAGTGGTTTAAGATTGCATTTAAGATTTAGTTCTTCTGTTCTTGTTTAAAGTTTCAGAGTCATTAGTTAAGTAGTTTAGGAGTCTTGTGATGGAAGCTATGTTGTAAATTTTGTTTTTCTAGTTCTAAGACTAGCCTATATAGAGTCAAAATGTGGTAATTGTTAATGGAATGGTATTTCAATGATTTTTATTCATATTATGCTCATTGAATGATTCCAGGCTCTCTCTCTCTCTCTTTCTCTCTTCTTTTGCAATCCTATAAGTAGTGTTTACAGCTATCAAAAGCTCAGAAGTTCATTCAACATTTCTACAAGGACTAGAATTGATACAGGTATGCTTTCCTTAAGTTCATCAATTTATGACGAAACCTAAAATTTGTGCCAAAACATATTCAGTTGATGCCTTACTGCCATATTTGGATGATCCCATAGATCTTCTTAACATTTAATTTAACCAAATTTCATTTCAAAGTTCCATCTAATACCCTAGACTCCATACTTTTCGAATCTTCTCCCAACCAAGAATCTTTGTCCTTTTGTGCAAAACATACTCCTAGGCAATGGAGTTTTTTTAATAGAAAATTACATATGAAAATAATTGAAGAAAGAATAAATTTGAGAAAATAAAGGGGCTGAACCCTATTTTTGTTGAGTCTGGATCTGCTGACCACAACTCATTGCTGGCCATGTTCACCCAGCCACACATCAGGAATATTGGTGATGTAAAGTACAACTGATGTTCCTGATGTACAGCTGGGTGAACGTGGCCAGCAATGTGTTGTGGTCAGCGGATCCAATCAATATGTGTTTATTAAACAAAATTTTGAGTTCTTCCTTGCATCAATTCAGGTTTTAACTCTTTGAGGGTTCAAGACAGCATACATATCTACAATGTTCAGAGAACTAGACCGGGCATAGAACTGGAGATGGGAGATGTGCACAGGTTCAGAGGTTCAATCGGGGTCGAACCGTGATGGCGTGGCATATACATATATACTATGGGTCATATAAATACTATATAATATATTTTACAATTTTAATGTGCTTAAATATGATGGATGGATGGTAAGCCACTTAATTTTTAAAACAAAATGACTAGGGTTTAAGCCTTTTAACTTACATTTTCTTTAAAATACGTGCATAGTAATGTAATATATACAAAAAATAGTCATTAATTAGTATAAGTAAAGAGGTGGATTAGTGGTAATTAAGTAATCTAATGAAAATAAGAGGTCTTGGGTTCAAATCTTGTTAACAACATTTTAAAATTTCACTTGTGTATGGACCCGGGCGGTTTCATGAAACTGGGACTGGTTCACCGGTTTTCCGGTTAAACCGGCCGGTCAGCCAGTTTTCAGTGGGTTTTGAGCAAATCTGGTTATTGGGGTGTGACCGAACCGGTCAAGACCCCAGGTCACGGTTCAACCAATTTGACCAGCCGGTCCGGTCTGGTTTTTTAAACACTGCATATCTACATCTCCCTCATGACACATCTATATCTCCAATACTGGAGACACTTCTAGAGTATATGGTATTAACAGTTTTAGAATATATAAAATGCTACGTTTAACAAGTTCATTTATAAAAAAGAATCTTTATATGTCACAAGTTAAATCAAATTTGGTAAGATGTACATATTGAAATAGAGTCTCTTCAGTTTTTACTAATAACTCTTGGGACTTGGGTTTGAGGAGAGGTCTAAGGGAGTCGGAAATGACAATGGTGGATGAATTAATTAACCTTCTGGGGTCAACCTACCTGGATCAATCTTGTTTGGACAGTAGAATTTGGAAACCTTCCCCATTTGGCGTGTCACTTGTTCCTCCTTTGATGTCCTCATTCAATCATCAAACCTTACAAGGAGCTTTCCTTCAAAGGAGATTTGGTGTCAGCCTGTACCCCCAAAAATTCGGGCTTTTTGTTAGGAAGTGGTTCTCCAAAAAATCAATACTCTAGATATGTTGCAAAGAGAAAGGCCGAATGTATGCCTATCACCCCATGTTTGTAGCCTCTGTTTGGGCTCTGGTGAGACGATCACACACCTATTAATTTCTTGTCCATTTGTGTGCTTTATTTGGGCCTGGTTCTCTTCTATCTTTGGTTGCAGGTGGACACCTCCACCAGATGTGGCAAGCCTTTTTGACCCAAGCTTTTTCAGGCAACCGAAGAGACATGGAAGATTAATGTAGAGAGCTACAAGAACATCTATCTTATGGTCAGTCAGTTTGGGAAGAAAGGAACAATAGAATCTTTGAAGGAGTGGAGAAATTCAAGGAGGCAGTTGTAGAAAGGATAATCATTATGACTATTCAATGGTTGAAAACTTTGGATTTGTTTAAAGACTTATCAGCTGAAGACATTTACAGGAATTGGGAAGTGGTAGCATCTACAACTTCCATAAAACCTATTGTACAGGAATTGTGGTCCCCACCAACACAACAAAGAGTTAAATTGAACTTTGACAGGAGTTCTAGAGGTAACCCGGGCCCTTCAGGTATAGGAGTATACAGAGATGAAAATGGAAGAATTGTGGCTGTTTTCAAGACCAATAGGAGTGGGGGACTCATTGAGAGCGAAGGTGATGGCCTTCCTTCAAGGTGTAAGATATGCCAAACAATTGGGGTTACACCAAATTGAGATAGAGGGAGACTCTAAATTGTTGATTGAGTGGCTGCAATCTGGAAAGTTGGGAGCCTGGATTTAAAGACAGCCCATAAGGGAAATCCTCAACACAACAAGGGAGACCGGTGCATGCTTCAAATGGACAAGGAGATCGGCTAATGGTTTAGCTGACACATTGGCTAAACAAGGAACTGTGAGGGAGAGAATGTTCTGGACAGTTTTGTAAGAAAGATTACTGAGGCTCAACACCTGTTTAGGGGTTGACAGCTGTACTTAACTCTGGAAAGTTATTCTTAAATTGTATTAATGAAGTTATCGTTTCCGATAAAAAAAAATAGTGTCTCCATTTTTTGTATCATGTCCAAGACTCCAAGTAGGTATTATTGTCTGGGTGCCATAGACTAAAACATTATAAAGATATCAATTTACTTTGAAGTCTAAATAATCTCAATATCTCATGTATCTTATACAGGTCCTGTAACCAAATTACTAGTTTGATTAGTGTTCTCTAATCAATTTACTTTGAAGTCTAGTCCCTTTTACAAGTCAATGAATAACTTCAGCCTCATAACATTGTTCGAGGCCCCACATGAAAAGGTGATTGGATGGCCTTGTAAGATTTTTTTTCATATTATATTTCTTCCTCAAGGGCTCAAGGGCACTCCGTGTATACCAAACGCTTTGTTTTTTCCCCTACTTGTATGGTGCCTCACTAGGGATGCTCACTCATCTTGTTATTTCTTTTTTCTCCTCAAACAAATTTTCATTATCTATCAAAATAAATAAATAAATAAAATAAAATAAATACCGCATCTTCAGGTAAAAGGACACGTTCCTCTGTCAAGTATCCACTGCTTGTTACCATAGGGACCATTAATCCTGTCCCTATACTAGGCTTTTCATCATTGCTACCGGTTTGGTATCTATATTTTGGAAGGATGCTAAGATCTGCCTCTGATGCACCTTCCTGCATATTCATGCTCAGAATGATAGAAAAAGTTAGCTATTTGAAGGCATCCAATCAGTTGGAAGAATCTTATTATATTATGCGTTATCATTATATGCTTACTTGGCCTGCCACAGCATAAAGAATTGCAATAATACAAGGCAAGCAGCAGCAGAGAGCAATCCCAATCAAACATGCCAAAGCAACACAAAAGATGGCAAAGAACACATCGAACGCAAGAAATACGACAGCCAACCTGCATGAATTCATTATGAGAAATATTCAGACATTCTTTATGATGAATTGTTGCATGCATTATGTTGAACAATTGATAGACATAATTTTTTATCAATAACTGCATAATTTCATTTCATTAGGGAAATAGAAAGAAGTGTACAGCGAAGAATTACAAAAGTAAATGCCAGTCAATGAGAGATAAAATCTGCTCTCTCTCAACCAACTGTTCCCCTCATTTACAGAAGTGCCCAGAATAGAGATTCTCTGCCCACCCCTTGTTTGGCTAAAGCATCAGCTAACAAGTTATCACTACGTTTAATCCAATTGAAGGAGATTTTCATTAATGTATATCCAAAGCTTTGATTCCTCTCCTTGTAACCAGTTTACTACCAGTTTTGAATCTCCCACAACAACCAACTTCCTAATGTTCAGATCTTTCACCCTTTGAACACCTTCCATCAGAGTCAACACTTCTGCTCCAAGAGAGTCTCCGTCCCCAACTGGTTCTGAGTAAAGAGTTAGAATCTTGCCCTCCTCATCTCTTAAAACCCCACCAATACCTGATAAACCAGGGTTTCCCATACTGCTGCCATCAAAATTAAGTTTAATGGACCCTCTGTCTGGAGGAGACCAATGGTAATTGGAGACGGGCTTAGTTGAGTTGGATTCAGCCACTTCCTTCCACCTTCTAAAGAAGTCATCCATTGACACATTTGAAAATGTATTCGAGGACTTCAACCAATGTACCACTCTGATTGTTATTATTTCCACTAAATCTTCATTGCTTCTCTCATTCTCTAAAAAAATTCTAGAGTTACTTTCTTCCCAAATTGTCTATAATACTGCCGCTCTTAAACATCTCCACATAATTCTTCCCCTTTTTGGCCATACGAAGAAAGATGGAGCAAGTAAGCTTTGAACATCCACCGGAGGGATCCACCTACACCCAAAAAAGGAGAAAGACCATTCCCAAACAAAAGTAATAAAGGCTCAGTTTGGAAGGAGTACAAATACAAATATGTATAGTGCAAATGCATACAAAATACAAGGTTTTGGCTCTACAAATTTGTATTTGTACTCTTTCCAAACTGAGCCAAACGAACAGTAGATTAGTGATAGAAGCTCTCACCATTTGCCTTGCACAAGGTATAGCAATGAGGGGATAAACACCACTTGGGTTGTTTTCTTTGGAGTAAGTCAGCAGTATGCCAGTATTAATCTTTTCATAAACAACTGCCAACAAAAAAACACCAATTCTAGGAGGGATAGGCTTAACACCATACCTCCTTAACTTGAAAGAGAAGCAGAGAGCTAGAGGAAGATTGAAACAAGGCTTTGAAAAAGGAAAAACAAGAGCCTGAAGGGGTACAAGTCCAAATTCAGTTATCTAGTTTAGAAGGATCAAGAAATACTTCTTCCAACCATTGGAGTAAAGTAAGTACATTCTAGAGTTTGGAGTATCTTATACCCCTCTGAAAACCCAAATCCCAAGTGAAGCAATTTCTTGAGTTTAAAGGAACCATGAATTTAGAAATGTTCTCATTTTTAGAACAAGAAAGTGCAAATAGTGATGGAAAATGTTCCTTCAATGAGAACCCTAGCCAAACATGTTCCCAAAATTTGATCTTGTTACCACTACAAAGATTGTATCTAATAAAAGGAGTAAGGAGTGGTAGTACTGCATTGATGGATTTCCAAGGAGAAGCTCAATTTTCCCTAGCCGAAGTTCCAGCATCCCAGCCGCTGACCAATTGATAGACATAATTTTATCATTTCTCATACACTCAAAAGATTGAGGATCAACCATTATTACTGCAGAGAGAAGCAAGAAGTAACTGATTTTGCTTTTTTCTTTTTTTGATAAATAGCAAGACTTGAACCCTGGTCACTAGATTTTTAATGCCCATAATTTCTGATTTTGCTTCTTGCAAATCTTACATACTCTTGATCACCTTTGGATGATCAGGAACATAATAATCATTGAGGAGAATGCTCCATCACACACATTCTGAATGTGGTTTACATCTCGAATAATCAAGAAGGGGATAACATATTGAACAAAAAAATTGGGGCTTAGTTTAAAATTATAACTTAGTTTAAAATTTTTGTGTAACTGATATAATATGATGGTAATAAATAAACGAAATCATAACTTAGTTTAAAATTATTTCTCCATGAAAAAAAAATTGGGGCTTCCCTTTTCTTTTAATTGAAACAGAATTTTCATTAATTAAAATTTGGGAGATTCACAAAAAAAAGAAGGTTTCCATTTCTCATGTAACTCACCCTATGCAAATACAAATATAACAAGAAACAAGTTGAAGTCAACTACACATATCCTTGAATTCCTCATGAACTAGGGTCCAGTCCAGAATGAACATATTGATATTCCAGTCAATTGTGCCTTGATATAAAATGATGGGGCTTTCTTTCTTTCTTTCTTTCTTTCTTTTTTTTTTTTTTATAAGTGTGAACATGATGATGGGGCTTTGTTTTTAACACATACACTGAGGTATTCAAGCAGTTAAAGGGAGATAATAAAATTAGCTACAGCCAAAGCTCCTGTCATTCTTAAAAGTTCAACAAGCTCAAAGAATGCATACAAATAAATTGCTATTTCTTGCAAAAAAATTACCAGTATAGATGTGGAGCATTCTGCAAAAGTGTTTCACCGCCAGAAACCACCCAATAGAAGCCAACTATCCACCAGAGAAAGGAAGCCAATGTATTAATATTTTCACATTGCTTGGCAATCCTGAATAAACCATCATAACATATCAGGAATAGGATGAATAAGTTCATTTTTTAAGTACTTTCCAACTAAAGAAATTCAATGAAGATGAAAATGGAGGAAAGCATCCAAAACGAAGATGGGCTAAAACATGCATATAACATCAGGACCTACAACACAATAAGATAATTAGCATCACCAGAAGACCCATACAAAATGTCAAGTATATCATTTTTTATTGAAAATGGTAACTTTCAATTGAAATTAAAATGTTACGATTTCTGAAAAACAGATTACGAAGCATCCCAAAAGAGCTTCTCCCTACTTGTCCCTTGTTTAGCTAAGCTGTCTGCCATCCCATTGGCTGATCTTCTAATCCATTTGAAGCTGATGCTAATCTCTCTTGAAAGACATAATATCTCCCTCACAAACTGCCTGTGGGTCCATACCCTCAGATTCCTTGCCTGCATCCACCTTATCACTAACTTGGAGTCACCTTCCACTTCTAGATACCGGACACCCAACTGTTTAGCCAATCTTAAGCCTTGAAGGAGGGCCAAAACTTCTGCTCTAAGCGAGTCTCCCACTCCTATTGGAGCAGAAAAGAGAGCCAGAGCCACTACATTTCCATTCTCATCTCTAAAAACTCCTCCAATATCAGAAGGCCCCATGTTGCTCATCGAACTTCCATCAAAGTTAATTTTTATTCTTTGAGATGCTGAAGGGACCCAAACCTCTTGAGTTACATCTTTGATAGTTGATGTATTTGCTACTGCATTCCATCCCCTGATTATGTCCAGCACTGAAAATTCCTTAGGCAATTCACTTTTTTTAACCCAATTTGCTACTTTGAAGGTAATGTTTTCTATTAATTCCTCCTCCAATTTAGCCGTATCTCGAAAGATACAGTTGTTCCTCTCTTCCCAAACTGTCCATAATATTGCTGCTCTGGTAGCCTCCACAGAACCCTTACCCTCTTCCTTAGTTGTCTGAGAAAGCTTGCCTCAAACAAAGCTGCCAAAGAAAGAGGAAGCACCCACCTGCACCCAAAGAGAAGTAAACCAATCCCAAATAAAAGCAACAAAAGAGCAAGATATTAACAGGTGTGAAGCTGTCTCACCACAAGTAAAGCAAAGGATACAAACATGAGAAGATAGGCACCAATTTGGCCATCTTTTTTGATGCATATCACAAGTGTTGGTGGGGGGGGGGGGGGCGCATAGGAATACTCCACACTTCTTTGGCTAGAAAAGACAAATCCTGATTGTTAGACTGGAAGAGGGCAGAGAAGAAAGGACACGAGAAAGAACCTGAAGGAGAGGTCATCCAAACCATGCTTCCAAATAAGAATGGTCCAAGAACACATTACTCAAAAGAGAAAGAATCTCAACAACCGCTCCCATGTCAGTGTCCCTAAGCCCTCTACTTAGCCCCAAATCCCAAGAGTCCCCATTGCCCTGAACTAAAGAAATGACTTGTGTAAGGATGTGATGGGGTCTTGGCTCTGAAATTGACAAGGAGACAAAAATGGGGAGTTAGGGTTCAATCAGGGACAAGGAGACAAAGATGATGACAGAATAAGACGAATAAAGCTGATGAAGGATAGATGAACGAGTCCCTTCTCCATCAGAAGGATGGCTATTTATAGAAGTGGAGAAGGGCTCATTCATGTAAGAAATGAGAAATTCTGGAATATTCTCAAGGTGGTTAACTCGCACATCTAGATTGATTCGATGGGGACACATGTCAAACCCCAAGGTGTGGTGACTAATTATCAACCTAGGTAGACTATAACGGCTTTCACCTCTGTTATCCTACCATGTGTCGCATGGAGAGCGCCTTTGTATGTCTCACATGCCTGTCAGTGTTTTAAAAGTGCAAGGTGCAAAAAAGCATAAGGGCCATTTTGTGCCCGAAGTGTGAGGCGCAAGGCGAGGCACGCACCTTTTTGAAGCAAGGCAAAAAAATGCCAAAAAATTTAAATATATATATAAATGCAATATTAATTAAAAATATAAACTTAAATTTTAAAATAAATGTTTTAAAAAACTTATTATCTCCAATTCAAATACATAAACAGAACATGTAAAACACATTTAAAAATAAAATCAAGCATAACATATAAAACATATTCAAACATGTAAACTCTTATTTTCTTTATTTTTTTCCTAATTGCATTACTTGAAATAGCTAATGTGATGTTAAACATTATGCATTCCTGGTTCTACAAACCGCCTTTGTACCAAGCCCAAACAAGCCCATATTAGGGTCTTAAAGAAGCTGCCTTTGTACCAAGCCCCTGGGCTAAAGTGCAAGGCACACCAGGCACATGCCTATTGAAAATGTTGCACCTAGGACTTAGGCGAGGTGCATACCCTAAAATGCACCTTGCCTATGCGCCCACACCTCAAGTGCGACTTTTAAATCACTGATGCGTATACAACATTTTTTGTCGCTCGTGAGCCTTACTTTTGTGTTGTGTCCAAGTAGTTTACTTTTGTTTTGTGGCTTGGTGTTTGTCTTCGCCTAGCATCTAGGAACCGCAACCTATAATGCTTAAATAGGGCATCCACAGTTCTCTCTGTATAAGGGAGATTATCACGGTTGCCTTGTAATCATACTGCCACAGTAGTTATTATGTTCGCAACTGGCCTATGTTATCACAATAGTGGTATATAACTCCATCCTCTTACAACTTGGATTTATGCAGAGAGTGGGGAGTAAAGGTAAGGGAATTTAACTTTAAGAGGAGCCTCTCCAAGATAGGTATCTTGCCAGAAAAGCACTTTATTTCCAGAACAAGCATCATACCTTATGAAAGGAAGGAAAGAAGAATTCCATAAATAGCTTTCCACAAAAGAGTGTGTATCCCTAGGATCAAGTCTGGTGTCCCAGCCATTGGGTGCCATACCATGAATGCTAACAATCACCCTATGCCACAACCTATCCTGCTCCAAGGGCAATCCCCAATCCACTTCCCTAAAAGTGCTAGGTTTCTTTTTCAAATATTTCCAGTACCTAACCCTCCTTGCTCCTTGCTCCTTACTCCCCAAAACCACCTCCTATTTCACCAAATGATCATTTTTTGTCTCATTAGGTTCCCACAAAAAGTCTCTCATAATTTTTTCCAATTTTTTTATCAATAACAAGATTTATATTGAAGATTTAAAATATAGATACAAGAGGTACAATATACACACAGACGTTGAGAGACAAACAGACTTGTCTCTCCCCTACAACCTATAAGTTTTGCAACAGTGCCCAGAACAGATTCTTCCTCTCCACCCCTTGCTTGGCTAAACTATCTGCCATAGAGTTAGCAGACTGCTTAACCCACTGGACCTTTACTTCCATATCTTTTGTTAACCATTTGAATTTCTTTTTCAGAGTTAAAAATCCACATCCTCTGATCATTGCACCACAACCAGCTCACCACCAGTTTGGCATCTCCTTCAACTACTAATTTTCTGATGTTTAACAGACTTGCTCTTTGCATTCCCTTCCATCGCAGCCAGCACCTTCGCTATGAGGGGATCTCCTTCCCCAACTGGTCCTGAATAAAGTGCTATAACAATACCTCTCTCATCTCTGAATACACCTCATATTCCTGAAGGTCCAGGATTACCCATACAGCTTCCATCAAAGTTGAGTTTCATGAATCCCCTATCCGGCGGGCACCATATGGATTAGTTAGTAAGAAATATAAATTACCACATAATTTTTTCTAATTTGCTGGCAATTTTCGCAGGAATGTAAAAGGTAGAGAGGAAATAAACATGCAGGTTTGCCAAAGTGGACTTGATTAGAGTAATTTTCCCCCCGAGTGAGATATCTGTGAACCTCTCTAGGATTGGGTACCGGAAAGCTTCAAAGTTTTGATTTCCCTTAGTGTAAACCCAAATAACTCATAGGCCAATCATTCATTGGACAACCCAAAATGTTGGCAAGCCTTCCTACCACATAACTCTTCCCCTAGTTTACCTTCAGTTTGGAAAGAAATTCATGAGGTATATCCTTTCTTTCTCAACCATATTCGATTTGATGTGGGATGTGGGAATAAGGTACTGTTTTGGGAACACCTCTGGATAGGCAAACAACCTCTAAAGGTCCAATTCCCCTTACTCTATGCTTTGACAAACTATAAGTCTGAACCCATTTCCAAGTTTGTGACCTTCAACAATTGGGGATTGAACTAGGACTTTGGTTTTAGGAGGGATCTAAGGGAGATGGAATGTGAAGCTCTCATATTTCTATTGGTCAAATTAGATTCAGTCTTCTTGGACCAAAGTACAGAGGACAGAAGGGTTTGGGAGATATCCTCTGATGGTATCTTTACCTGTGTACCATTCTTCAATAACTTAGTACAGCCTTACCACTTAGGGGTTGAACCTACTGGTGAAATAAATTTGAAGCAAGCTAATTCCACCTAAAATTCAGGCCTTTGGTTGGGAGGCCTTTCTTGGAAAGATAAACACCTGTGACTTGCTGCAAAAAAGAATGCCAAACAAATGCCTTTCCCCTCATGTGTTGCCTTTGAAAAGCTAGTGGTGAAAACACTTCCCATTTGTTTATTCACTATCCTCTTGTGTGGTGTGTTTGGAAGCATTTTTGTTCTTTTTTTGGCTGCAAATGAACTCCTCCCCAAGATGTAGTGGGTCTCTTTGATCCAAATTTTCAGACACAACCAAAGAAGAGAGATGAAGAATAATGTGGAAAGCAGTGAGAGTAGCACTAGTTTGGACTATATGGAAAGAAAGGAATAGAGGATTTTCAACGAAAAGAATAGGTCTGAGTTGGAGACCATGGATATCATAAAAATAGAAGTTGCACATTTGAAGAAGACCTTGGAAACCTTCCATGATTTCTCATTTAATGATATTTTGAGATTAAGTAGTACACTTGGGTCAATAAAATGATAGATTGATAATGGAGTGGAGACCACCAGCAACCAATACTTTGAACCTTAACTTAGATGGAAATTTTTTGGGAAATGAAGGGCGGGCTGGTTTTGGGGGTCTTTCAAG